AAATTAATTTGACAACAAAAATGCATATTAACTTCAACCTAAATTTAAACTGAGTCGGTGTTTACCAGTCAACTCTCACGGTCTAAACATTTGTATGAAAGAGGCTGCACTATCATTACTTCTCACAGATCAATGCCTTGATAACTTTAACAATCCATGCCATCCCAAGTCTTTACCCGGTTGATCTAAATGCAGAATTGTTTATGCAATGGCTATGGAAGAAACTACTGGCAACAATGCGACTAACTAGCGCATGCACGAATGTTGCGCCACGGGTCCTCAATATCTCCAATCACACGTCCACCCAAGCACAAACTGTCCCTCATGTGCCTCCCGGTGGCCGCGGCCCTGCAAACTAGGCGCGATTTCGTCTGGGCTCGCTTGCCTGCCAAAAATGTACTTTCTAGTGCATCCACTTTGCACCCAATTGCCAAAAGAATAATGCAGATGATTCACCCATTTCATGCTTTGACACTTAGGATTCGAAGCCTAGTGTTTGTTTGGTTTGCCGATACCCTTGTTTAGCGTGGCGATACTCTTGCAAGAAGTGTGACGTGCACATCCATATGAGTGTGTTAATTATTCTGCAAACTTTTGCGATCTAAAGAACAACCGGTAGGCCCTTCGTGGGCTTCTCCGTCGCCATATGTGTACTATCCCGTGGAAGTGCCTCCTTTTCATACCAGCAGGCTCAAAGCAGTGAAGCAATGGAGGGTATTTGGAAGAAGATATACTCGGTTGTGGCTGGCCTTGCAGCTATGTGATTGTTGCTTCTGTCACTGGAATTCCTGCATTTCCGTTCTTTGAAAGTTCTTGTGTTTGTAAGCGTTTGATTATTTGTAGTGTTATGCCTCAAAAGTCAAGCCTATGTCAGCACAATTAATGTCTCTTTATACCAGTTGCTAACCCCATATCTCCAGGATATTCTCACAAACTTTATCTCATTTCAAGAGATGAAAAGACAGAGCCTTCCATGGTGTTAAGGCAGCTTGCAAAACACTCATTGCATTGAGTGCAAATGTGAATAAACGGGCATTTCTCTTCCTGACGAGAGAGGCTGGAGGCTGGCCTAAGATTTGCTTCAATTCTTTCTCTCTGTAAAAACACTGTATTTCTTCATCTTTGTATGCCTTACGGCAATTCATAGAAATAGTCAGAGATCAATAAATAACAGTGGATGTGAGTCGCTTGTTGCATCCGAACCACTATAAAACCCCTCTTGCCATCTTTTATTTTTTTTTCTGCAAAATATATAATCTCAGCTCCATATTCAATCTCATAGATCCATCACGTGTGTCTCCTGAGTTAGCTCAGCGTTTCCCACGTGCGAGTCGTTGGCGTCCAAAATCAAGCGTCAACAGTTTGGCGGCCCATGTAGGTCCGATTCTCAACCTGCATCAAAGTTCCTTGATGGCGTGCTCAGATCTCAAACCCGCGTCAGAGTTTTCCGATCGCGTGGCCAGATCGTAGTCGCACGTGTTTAGAATTCTCGATTGCGCATCAGAATTCTCCAATCGCGGGTGCCAGATCGTAGATCGCACGCATCAGTTCCTCGATCGCGTGGCTAATCGCAGATCGCACGCCCATGCATCCTGATCCTCAGCTTCATCGCGATCTTTAGCTTCAAATCGCGTGTTCAGATCGCTGATCTCTTGTGCTCTTAGGTAGAGCTCGTTTTGACCTCTCAAGTTGAGGTCGTTTTGCTCATTGAGCTCGTTTTGACCTCTCAAGTTAGTCGTTTTGCTCATTCAGGTCTTTTTGACCTCAAAAATTGAGGTCGTTTTTGTTTTTTAAGCTCGTTTTGACCTCTCAGGTCGGAGTCGTTTTGCTCTCAATTGAGCTCGTTTTGCTCAGATTGAGCTCGTTTGACCTCTAAAATTGAGGTTGTTTTGTTTTTTGAGCTCGTTTTGACCTTTGGGTCGAGGTCGTTTTGCTCTCAAGTTGAGCTCGTTTTGCTCAGATTGAGCTCGTTTTGACCTCTAAAATTGAGTGTCGTTTTGCTTTTTGAGCTCGTTGCTCTCAGGTCAGGTCGTTTACTCTCAAGTTGAGCTCGTTTTGCTCAGATTGAGCTCGTTACGACCTTTCAGGTCGTTCTCCCTACCAGATTTCAGGTCGAGCTCCTACTAGATTTCTGCTCATTTTCCTAACAATTTCTGGTCGCTCCTAACAGATTTCTGGTCGTTTTCCTAACAGATTTCTGTAACTCCTAACAGATTTCTGGTCGTTTTCCTAACAGATTTCTGGTCGCTTCCTAACAGATTTCTGGTCGTTTTTCTAACAGATTTCTGATCATCTTCCTAACGATTTCAGTTCGAGCTCTTCATTTGAGACGGCAGCCAGTCAGATCAAGACTTTAGTTTCTAAAGTGCAACGCACTTCAAAAACTAGGGGCTTCTGTTATGCCTCAAAAGTCAAGCCTATTCAGCACAATTAATGTCTCTTTGTACCAGCTGCCAAGCCCATATCTCCAAAGATATTCTCACCAACTTTATCTCATTTCAAGAGATGAATGGACAAGAGCCTTCCATGTGTCAAGACAGCTTGCAAAACACTCATTGCATTGAGTGCAATGTGAATAAACGGGCATTTCTCTTCCCGAAGAGAGAAGGCTGGAGGCTGGGCTGAGATTTAGCTTCAATTCTTTCTCTCTGTAAAACACTGTATTTCTTCATCTTTGTTGCCTTACGGGCAATTCATAGAAATATCAGAGATCAATAAAATAACAGTGGATGTAGGAGTCGCTTGTTGCATCCGAACCACTATAAAACCCCTCTTGCCAACTTTTACTTTTTTTTCTGCAAATATATAATCTCAGCTCCTATTCAAATCTCATGGATCCATCACGTGTGTCTCCTAAGTCAGCTCAGCTGTTTCCCACGTGCGAGTCATTGCGTCCAAAATCAAGCGTCAACATATGCAATTTGTCTTTTAATGTGAGCTGAAATATGAATGCTACTGAGATGTAAACTCAGAAGATGAATCATATATAGTTCTTGTCAACTCTTGAAAGATGGCGCAACATGGGTTTTGACTTCTGAGTTCGAGTACCCCTTGGGGTAATTTACCCAGTTGTTTACTCAGAGGTACGCGCAAACTGCTTTGAACATCTTAGTCACCAAAAAGAAAAAAAAAGACTTAACCTGCTTCTAATAGGATAACCAAGTACAATACTTGACTGGGTAAAGTGTTCTGATCCACTTTGTTAAGGACCCTGAATAAATGGAGGGGCATCACTGGGTTAAGGCAAGACAACTGATAACTGCGGTAGCACATATAGCAGGGGCGCCTTTCATTAAATAAGAAGCCCAAAGTCTCATCTATAATATTGTATATAACCTAGCCATTCATGAAAGTCCTAAATGAATCCCTCACAAGTCACAACAACATAGGATTGATTAAGAATGCAATTATATTTGTGATTTCAACCACTAAGCAGGTCAACGAACATCTAAAGAAATGCCATTACTGAATCAGTTGCTGTAAACCAGCATAACCAGTAGTTTTGCATTTATGATCCAAAATAGACAACTCAGTTTAGGGTTAGCATCATAGCATCGTTCATCGAATCAATCTTCAATAATCTGGAGCTGAGTTCTAGGTCATAAATATTCCATTTCTCCAGCCAAAAGAAGTATCAGAGAATACTTACATCCAGCTTGGCGGCCGTCTCTTCAAGTACACGCATTGCTTCTTCAGGTTGGGACACAGTAAAGGCAGGAACACCATGCTGCATCAGGAAATGCAAAGCCATATTTACAAAGAAATGCAACACAAAGACTCCACGATTGTGGTATGGGAAAAAACATATTCTACGTGCATGTAAGTTATATGCTTTGAGTATAATTTAAATAAAGAACACCTTAAAGATACCAGCCTTCTCCCCAGCAATTTGCCCCAGTGTATTCCCTGTTAGTAGCAGCCAGAAAAAGGAAAATGAATTGAAAATACAATAGACCCAATTATACTTCTAGTAGGAAGATATTTGTTAGCTTAAAAATTTCAAGAATGATTCTATATTGACTTCCATGCCACCATTGAAACATGGTTTCATCTCAGAAGTTACAACTTCAAATATTTCCATTTATCCTTACAACAGCAACAGCTGAAACAGATACAGGACATGATGACCACCAGTGCATATTAACTGAAATTAAGGAAATATATAACAAACCTAAAATCTCCATGTGGTCATACCCAAGGGCAGTTACACCGCATACTACAGGTGTCCGTACCTGTGAAATTAAACAACCATATTAGGAAATTCTAGCAATAATAATGCACCCTAGCACAAAGATTCCCATAGCAGATAAGCATATTTCAAAAGAAAATGTTAGCTTCACAGAAAATCTACAACAAAACCATTTAAAATATCAGATTAATGTATAAATTCCATCCCCAGCCAGAATTTAAACATACCACATTTGTTGCATCAAGTTTTCCACCTATTCCAACCTCTAATATAGCGACATCTACCTGCACAGAGATTGTTGTAAATATAATCTTTCTCATTCCTTGTATCAGTACAAATAACATTCAGTACTAGTAAACTGACATGGCGAATAAGTGCGTATAGGTTTTTAAATTAAACATACAAACCTGTTCTTCTGCAAATATCTTGAAGGCAAGTAGGGCAAGGAAGCGAAATAAAGTAGGCATTGGTGCCTCCTCAGTAGCTTTTTCCTGCATAAAAAGATAAAACCACCAGAATAAACACATTAAGCGAACCCATTTTCCCAACAAAAAAATAAAAAATAAAAAAGTGAAATATGAATAACATTTTCATTCAGCAATCAATGTGATATTGTAATACATAAAAGCTTAATCCAAGAATGGATTTATTAATTCCACAATGTCATCATGAAATTTTATAACTCCTAAAGAAGCAGCTATTCTCCACCAAAATGCTAATGCTATAAAGTGTATTCAGATTTAATAAACAGAACCAAAAAATAGCCTAAGTAGCTGATAGCGCTAAAAATAAAACATGTGGAGAAACATACCTTTAGTCTATCATAACACCACCAAAAATATGCCAAAAATTTCTCTTCACATATGTCAACACTGCAGCATCCAACACAAACAGCAACAAATGAACTTGTAACCAAAATGTTACATTACATTACACAGAACTTAAATACAAATTTAGTCTCTGCTTTGGGGAATTACTAATACTGAACAACAATAATCCAATGATTTGTGAACTGAAATGAACCATCAGTTAGAGATGAAATGGATACAGATAACGAGAGTAGTCCAGTTCATCAAAATAACCGAACAATAAATTTCTAGTATAAACTGACAGTCAAGAAGTAGAAAATTAGGTACTAGGTCTAAAAAAAAAAACCTGCATCTAGGATACAACTAACCATAATAAAAGAAGATAAATCTACTTAGGGAATGGAAAAACTCACCCATCCAAACGAAATCTTTCTCGGACATCGATGAGGTGAGGAGAGGTGAAAAGCCCAGTCCGGAAGCCACAATGTCGCAATATAGATTCTGTGAATGTGCATGTGGATCCCTAAGAAGACCCAAAGGCAAGAAGAGCAAGTCTCAAACATCATTAACAAAAAAAAAAAAAATAAGTTTCACAATTATAAATTTATTCTCTGGATCAACTTCTCCAAGAATTTCAGAAAACAACTAAAACAGAGGTAAATCATAAGTAAATTGAAAAAGAAAATTCTCCGTCAATGCCTATACGTCACTAATATAGTCATATTCCTCACTTAACCATTTATGTATCTGATAATTCATAACTAATAAAAAAAGCGCAAAAAAAGAGTCTAGTTTAGGCTTTCCAATTTAATAATTGTACAAAATTTCGATAAGGATACTCCGTTTCTTATTGCTCTACTAAACTAAATATGAATAAAGCAAGATTTCAAAAAAGATTCATCACTTCAAGAAAGCCAAAATGTTAAGGTTGCTCTCAACTCTTAACCTGTAAACTAAATACCAGTAAACACATTTCTTATTTACACAACACAAAACAATTTCAGAACACGAATCAAAACTAGAAAATACACATAAGCTTCAACTAAAGAAAATAATTGAAGAAGAATTCATTTATACCTTTCCTTTGGTGCCAGCAACATGAATAACACTCATTTTTGAAATTGCTTCCTCTAAGTCCAACATCTACACATATAAAAAAACATCACTATAATTTGAAAAAATGAATATAAACATACAAATTTACAATCAAATGTTGCACCTGATTACCTTGACATACTCGCGAATGAGATCAAGCGAATAAGATCTGTCGCCTGGTTCAATACGATTGCGTTTTGTGATGAGAGAAGATAAAGCATCCAATGCTTCTTCATACGCTGTCGCTTTTCTATTTTCGTTTCCTAAAACAAAATCACTACTAAGCTTCACTAACAAACTGGCCGAGTTAAATTATGAAGTTAGTGATAGTTTTACCTTCTTCCATTTTAGTTTTACCTTCTTCCATTTCGATTTGAACCTGAATAGAATTTGCTTGCAGTTACCAAACAAAACAAATATGTGAAACGTATATATGTAAGTGCGTATGAATGAAAGGACGGAAGAAATAAAAAGATTGTGTTGAGCTTGTTGTGATAAAACAGATAGAGAGAGAAAGCGGTGGTTGGTTTTGTAGGAGAAGAAGATGACGGGATGGGGGATGGAGGGCTAAAGTTGAAAGTGAAGGTGAAAGTGTGAGGACTTTTAGAATTAGAAATAAGAATACGACGAAGATGAATTTATAGTGTTTGCATTTTTTAAATTTTGAAAAATTTCAAAGTTCCATAAAACCTAATTTTATTTTTTGAAAATTAATTTATTTTTATCTCAAATATGTATAAAATAAGTTAGGTAAGATTGATTTTATTCGTGACATGAATTATATATTTATGGGTTTATACTAAAGTTAATTTATACGTAAACTTTGGAAAATTAACTTACAATGTTAACCCTTTATGATGTGTTTGGTTCAGAAAATATTATATTACTGAAAATGTTATATTAATTTAAAGATAGATTACCTTAAAGATTGTTAGGAATGTTTAGAGAAATGAGTTTGGTTGAACAAATTGATGGATATGCTGTATTAATATGTTTGATTGGGAGAAATAGATTGATGAGTATGTTATTTAAATTACTAAATTGTCCTCTTATTCAATATTATTATTTAGATTAAATATAACCCCTACATTCAAAAACTTAGCAAAAAAAACCCATAAAACAATTTTGGAAAATCAACGAATACATCCCCATCAGCCACCATCCCAACCACTGTCGGTCGTCAACAACCACCCCCGGCCAACAGCACTCAGCAACCCAATGACACACGGTCAGCAAGTAATGGCCTTTGTGCACTGCTCTGACCATTTTCGGCTAGAAATGGCCAGATTGTGACAGATCTAGCTAGAAAACGGCCAAATCTAATCTGGCCGTTTCTGTCAATGGCTGTTAAATGCCAAATCCTTTGATCTGGCCTTTAAAGGCCATATCGAAAATGGTCAGAATAGATATCGTTATTTTCGACCAGATCTACAACCATCTAGCCATTTTCGGCCTTCACTATGGCCAGAAACGGCCATATCAGAGACTTCTGACGACTCCCAGCACTTCCGACGGTGGTTGGGCGATGGTGGTGGTTTGCAAATTGTTTTAAATATAAGGGCATTATTATCCAAAAATTTAATTAAACAAGGGTCAAATTGTAATGGCAAATTAATGTAAATTATTTTTAAAACAAGGGCATTATTGCCTAAAAATTTTATTAATATGGGGTAAAATTGTAATAAAAATAAGATTACTAAGTAATCTTAAAATACCTAAGAAAATTTAGGTAATCATAATATCTCCTATATTACCAACAGTAACTACTATTGGTTTTGGAATATTATCAGAATTCTATATTACTGACAACCAATTGTAGTAATCGAGCAATATAAGACGACATTACCTCAATAATCGAACATTACCTCCAACCAAACACACCTTAAGGAGTTAGTCTGACGGTCAATGAGGTTTGCTCATTTTTTTAAGTTTTTTTGTTCAAACCTTGGGACTACTTACCATAATAATAGTGTGGCTTATTTAATCCTATGGACTTATAAAGTGTTTAATAGACCCCAGAGATTAATTGAGATGCGTTTAAACCAACCCCAATACCCCAATTACAAAAAAAAAAAAAAAAAAGTTGCCATGTTGAGATATATTATAGCATAACAGCATTATTTTATCTCGTGGATTTCCAAATATTTTATGCTTCAACTTTTGTTTGTTCTTCTTTATTATTGGTAATGGTTTATCTTTTCAAAAGAATACGAGTATAAATTTATATCTCTAAATGACTCTTTATATGACCTAAACTCTTTATTATGAAGAGTCTATCCAAAAAAATAAAAGTTTAATAGACTCTTTATCTTTAAAATATAAATTAAAGAGTGAGTTTGACTCTCCATATTTAGAGAGTCAAATTTCACTATCTATCATAATTTTAATTAATAAACTACAAGTTCCTAGACATTTTATTTATTAATTCTCTCTCTCATTAAGTCTCTTTTTTAAAAATAAAGAGCATATTCGTTAAATTTAAAGAGTCTATTGGACTTGAATAAAAATTGTGTTTTTTATATTTAAAAATTAATGAAGATGCTCTTTATTTATATCAAAGATGTTTTTCAAAATAAAGAGTATCATTAGAGATGCTCTAAGACTCTTTATATGACCTAAACTCTTTATTATAAAGAGTATATTCATAAAAATAAGAGTCCAACAAACTTTTTATCTTTAAAATATAAATTACAGAGTGAGTTTGACTCTCTACATTTAGAGAGTCAAATTTCACTCTCTATCATAATTTTAATTAATAAACTACAAGTTCATATGCATTTTATTTATTAATTCTCTCTTTCATTAAGTTTATTTCTTAAAAATAAAGAGCATATTTGTTAAATTTAAAGAGTCTATTGGATTTAAATAAAAATTGTGCTTTTTATATTTAAAAATTAATGAAGATGCTCTTTATTTATATAAAAGATGCTCTTCAAAATAAAGAACACCGTTGGAGATGCTCTAATATTTTATAAAGTTAAAATTGAATAAAAAATAAAGTAAACATAATCAAATCTTCCATGGCAATGAAAAGGAACTTATTTATAATTTTAAGAGCACTTCCGACGGTGGTTGAGTGATGGTGGTGGTTTACAATTTATTTTAAATATAAGAGTATTATTATCTAAAAATTTAATTAAAAATGGGTCAAATTATAATGGCAGATTAATGTAAATTATTTTTAAAACAAGGGCATTATTGCCTAAAAATTTTATTGATAAAGGGTAAAATTGTAACAAAAATAAAATTACCAAGTAATCTTAAAACACCTAAGAAAATAGAGATGATCAGAATACTTTCTATATTACCAACGGTAACTACTATTGGTTTTGGAAGATTACCAGAATCTTATATTACTGACAACCAATCGTAGTAATCGAGCAATATAAGACGGCATTACCTCAATAATCCAACATTACCTTCAACCAAACACACCCTAAGGAGTTAGCCTGACGGTCAATGAGGTTTGAACATTTTCTTAAGTTTTTTTATTCAAACCTTGGAACCACTTACCACAATAATAGTGCGACTTATATAGTCCTATAGACTTATAGAGTATTTAATGGATCCCGATGACTAATTGAGATACGTGCAAATTAACTTGAACAACCCAATTACAAAAAAAAAAAAAAAAAAAAAAAAAAACAAACTTGCGATGTGGATTTAATTTATAGCATACAACTATTTTATCCGTGGATTTTAATATTTATGCTTCAACTTTTGTTTGTTCTTCTTTATTATTGGTAATGGTTTATCTTTTCCAAAGAATAAGAATATAAGTTTATATCTCTAATATTTTATAAAGTTAAAATTGAATAAATAATAACGTAAACAAATCAAATCTTCCATGGCAATGAAAAGGAATTATTTATTTTTAAGAGCACTTCCGACGGTGGTTGAGTGGTGGTGATGGTTTGCAATTGTTTTAAATATAAGGACATTATTGCTAAAAATTTTATTAATAAGGGATAAAATTGTAAAAAAAAAAAAATAAGATTATCAAGTAATCTTAAAATACCTAAGAAAAGGAGGTAATTAGAAAACCTTCTATATACCAATGGTAACTACTATTAGTTTTAGAAGATTACCAGAATATATATACTGATAACAATCATAGTAATCGAGCATTATAAGACGACATTGTTTTAATCCAACATTATCTCAACCAAATACACCCTAAGGAGTTAGCCTGACAGTCAATAAGGTTTACTCATTTTTTAAGTTTTTAGGTTCAAATCTTGAGACACTTATTATAATAATAGTGCGGTTTATCTGGTCCTGTGGACTATAGAAGGTTTAATGGACCTCAAAGATTAATTAAGATCCGTGCAAACTGACTGAATACTCCAATTCAAAAAATCAATACAAAAAAAAAAAAAAAAAGGAACCATGCGTGGTGGTGTATATTATAGTATAACAGCATTATTTTATCTCGTGGATTTCCTAATATTTTATGCTTCAACTTTTGTTTGTTCTTCTTTATTATTGGTAATGGTTTATCTTTTCCAAAGAATAAGAATATAAGTTTATATCTCTAATATTTTATAAAGTTAAAATTGAATAAATAATAATGTAAACATGATCAAATCTTCCATGGCAATGAAAAGGAACTTATTTATAATTTTAAGAGCACTTCCGACGGTGGTTGAGTGGTGGTGATGGTTTGCAATTTGTTTTAAATATAAGGACATTATTGTCTAAAAATTTTATTAATAAGGAATAAAATTGTAAAAAAAAAAAAATAAGATTATCAAGTAATCTTAAAATACCTAAGAAAATGGAGGTAATTAGAACACCTTCTATATTACCAATGGTAACTATTATTAGTTTTAGAAGATTACCAGAATCTTATATTACTGATAACCAATCATAGTAATCGAGCATTATAAGACGACATTGTCTTAATAATCCAACATTATCTCCAACCAAATACACCCTAAGGAGTTAGCCTGACAGTCAATAAGGTTTACTCATTTTCTTAAGTTTTTAGGTTCAAATCTTGAGACCACTTATTATAATAATAGTGCGGTTTATCTGGTCCTGTGGACTTATAGAAGGTTTAATGGACCTCAAAGATTAATTAAGATCCGTGCAAACTGACTCGAATACTCCAATTACAAAATATCCAATTACAAAAAAAAAAAAAAAAAAAACCATGCCATGGTGGTGTATATTATAGTATAACAGCATTATTTTATCTCGTGGATTTCCTAATATTTTATGCTTCAACTTTTGTTTGTTCTTCTTTATTATTGGTAATGGTTTATCTTTTCCAAAGAATAAGAATATAAGTTTATATCTCTAATATTTTATAAAGTTAAAATTGAATAAATAATAATGTAAACATGATCAAATCTTCCATGGCAATGAAAAGGAACTTATTTATAATTTTAAGATAGAATAATTTTCCGTTCTAATTTTCATGAACAAAATTACTTCTAAAAATAGTAGATACCATTTGGTTCTTACAC